GATATAGAATGCTGGAATAATCTACTTACGAATAAGCTACTATCGTATGGAAGCCAGCTACTGTCCTACAGAGCCGTAAGACCAGAACCCTTGGAGCTACTTACTCTTCCAAATGAATGTCATTCATTCGTCTATCAGAATCCAGTCATATCTCGTTCGTTTTTGACATATTAACATGTGGCTACAGAGGCTGGGTCCTGATCCACAGTGAATAAGAAACCACAAAGTCCTAGAGACAGGATGGAGCCCTAATGCCCAAGACATTCTTTGGATGTAATCAATGTCTGTCCCAACATCTAAAGTGGAACTAGTTGTGGATCATCTGTGGGAGAAATGGACAGAGTCATTCAAACCATTGTCTGCGTTCTGAGAGATAAGTGACCATGAATCTTCTGCCCTACTTCTAAGTTTGCAGTATTTTTTCTTGACTTGAGAAACTACAGGTGTATAGATTGAGAGAAAGGGCGAAGCCATGGTAACTGGTATCTTCAGTGTCTGAGGACCCACCTGGGAGATAGAAAGACCTGATAAAATGCTCTGAGTAAAGGAATAGCAAGGTGTTCTGGTGACACACTGGGCTGCTAACAGACAGGTCAGTGGTTCAAACCCACCAGTGGTCCCATGAGAGAAAGATGAGGTAATCTGCTTCCACAAAGATATACAGTTTGGGGTACCCTATGGAACAGGTTTGACTCTGTCCTTATAGGTTTGCTATGAGTAGGAACTGACTCAGTGGCAATGGGTTTGGTTTTGGTTTCATAGGAAGAGCTTTAGTGAGAACTTGAACTTCGTCCAACAGCAGGAAAGCCACAGGGAAGGGAAGGGAGGTCGTGTATCTGTACAGCTGTGTAGGACAAGTCCCTATGGACTCGTCCCCACTCACTGACCATAAAGGCAGAGAGTCCCCAGACCTGCTCCAGTGGAAGAAGACTGAGTCCACACCTTAAGTTCACCTCAGACTATTCATAGTGAAGAAAAGTTCTAATGTCCTGAGTGGAGGGAAGAACTTCAACTCCAACTCAAGCATAGTCTCTTATGAAGCTGAGAAACCCTTTAAAATGTTCACGGTAGAGGACACTTATAACTCATTGGGTGATACAAATGGTTAAGCACTAATTGAAAAGTTGATGGTTCAAGCCCACTGGGGTGCCTGTTGGTGTTGTCAAGTGCCATGAAGTCAATTTGGATTTCGACTCATAGTGACCCTGCATAGAGTTTCTGAGGAGTGGCTTGTGGATTTGAATCACTGACTTGGCAGCTCAAATTGACCTACTGGTCCAGTGTTTATCCTACAGCATCACACCTGGTTCCAAACTGTCACAGTCATGAAAACTGTATGGAGCACAGTTCTACTCTGCAAAACATGGAGTTACTACGAGTCTACTGACTCAAAAGCAACTTTCTTTGTCTTTTAAAGACATCTGTCCAGAGAGCTAAGAAGCTTGCACCCAGGTAGACCCACAATGTAGGGAAACCATGCCAGTGGTCCTCGTCCACCTGAGACTTTGGCCTAGAGAGCATCAGTCACCTGCAGCTGGGGACAGGATGTTTGCTCGGCTTCCTGCTTTAGGTTCACCCCTGGTGTGGACCATTGTGAAGGGGTTTCATAAAATGGCATTAAAAGATAACGGAATTTTCCCATGATCTTTTTGAATCCGCCTTGTGTAAGGGTTAATACTGAGTTTGGGGCATGGGTCAAATGACCCAAGCCATGGTCTTTTCAGTGGCCTCATATGCATGAGAAAGCTGGGCCATGAGAAAAGAAGACAAAAGAAGAACTGATGCCTTTAAATTGTGGTGTTGGTGGAGAATATTGAATATTCTGCCAGAAGAACAAACAAAGCAGTCTTGGAAGAAACGCAACCAGAATGTTCCTTAGACGTGAGAGCATGGTGAGACTTCGGCTCCCTTACTTCAGATGGGAAAGAACAATCCCTTAAAAAGGACATCCTGCTTGATAAAGGGTCAGTGAAAATGAGGGAAACTCTTAATGAGATGGATTGGCATAGCAGTCACGACAAGGGCTACAAATATATCAAAAATCATGAAAATGGTTCAGGACTTAGCAATGTAAGGTCACTTGAAGTGGAAACCAACTCAAAGGCAATTAACAACAACAATAGGATTTGGAGGATCAAACAAACTGAGTCCAAGTGCTGGCTTTGCCACTTACTGGCTATGTAATGTTGAATGACTCAGTTTCTCTGAGCCTCATTTAAAAATTTCATTTAAAATGGGATTAACGTTAGTACCCATTTCATCAGTGCTGTGAGAATCAGTCAGAAGACCGATGCTGAGCACTTTCCCTAGTGCCTGGCCCTTGATAAACACTCAAAGAATCTGCTTTCCCCCACCTTCTCTCTGTATAAGGGGCTCTGATGGCGCTGTGGATTGGGTGTTGGACTGTTCAAACCCACCAGTCAATCTGCAGGAGAAAGATGGCTGCCTGTTCCCATAAAGATTTGCAGTACAGCAAATCCAAAGGAGCATTTCCACTCTTGCCCTATAGGGTTGTTATGAGTCTGAACCAACTCCATGCTAGTGGGTTTGAATCCCCCTTCTCCCCTCCATGTACTGCTGACCCATTTTCCAGAATCCACAAGCTCATGGTGTCACAAGGCCACCAGTTTGAACACTGGGGATGGAGGATTGGTATTTTGTATGCAGTTCTTAAGATGATGGTACTGATGATGCATTACCTCCCCTTGGTTTTGATGCAAAGTACTAAGGTCCCAATGAAGCATAGGGAATGAAGGGCGGTGGTAGAGCCGGAGTTCAGTCCTTCTGTTCTTCTCCAAGGATTCCCAAGGTGGCATGCAAACATGCTTCCGCCATTGATCAGTCCACTGGAGCTTCTAAATGTACCCAGCAGACATGGCTAGGGAACATACCCAGCAGTGAGGTGATCATAGAACATTCGAGTTGTATTAGGTCATCTGAAAAAAACCATCTTGTTCTGCAGATATGGGAGGGTTGCCAGATTTAACAAATAAAATACATGAAGCTCAGTTCAATTTCAATTTCAGATAAACAATGAAAAAAGTCCCTTCTTTTAAATATAAGTGTGTCTCAGACAAAACTGGAACATACTCCAGTTAGAAGATGATTTGCTGTTTATCTGAAACTCAAATTGAACTGGAAACCCTGTATTTTATGTGACAGTCTGGAGAGGACACCCTCTAGCCAAGGGGGTAAGGGATTAGCTGGAGTCACACAGCAAACCCTGGCTGGTGGTGGTGGTGATGTGCTGTGGAGTCGGTTCCCATTCATAGCGACCCTGTACAGCATTTCTGAGGCTGTCAATCTTTACGGGAATAAAATGCCTCCTCTTTCTACCGTGGAGCAGCTGGTAGTTTTGAACTGCTGACCTTGAGGTTAGCAGCCCAACTCGTAACCACTACGCTACCATAGCTCATTTTATGTGCTCTCAATCCAGCACTCTCATCCCTCCATCCCAACACACACATACTCCAATGTCGTTTTCCACTTCAGGCAAATGCTTACTGGGCTGGATGTCTGTGATGCCTTGTCTGTTTTACAAGAGAGAAACTAATAGCTAGCTATCCAGCGCACTCCAACTCAGGGTGCCATATCATGTGTCGGAGGAGAATTGTGCTCCATGGAGTTTTCAATGGCTGATTTTCTTACAGCAGATCACAAAGCCGTTGTTCCAAGGCGCCTCAGACATAAACTTTCTAGTTAGTGAGTGTGTTTGCAGATGCACCACTTTACACGGGGGAAGAACTCAGAGCAGGGGTGGGGGTGGAGGGAATAGGGAGTAGGGACAGGTTTGGGGTGTCCAAGGACTTAGGTCTGAGTCCAGGTCCAGGTTTAGTTTTGAATGAAAGTGACCATGGAACAAATGTTTAACTGCTCTATGGCTCAATTTCCTAACTATTGCCTGGGCACAGTGGAACCTATCTCCAACCACCGCTTACTAGAGAGAAGCAAGTTCCGAAAAGTTCTGTTGCTTCAAAACGACAGAATGGGAATGGTGACCCTGCTTTTGCCAGGACCCACTGAGCCCTGTAGGAGTCCTGGTGTGGCACTGTAGGTTAATGCACTGGACTGCAAGGTAGTTTGAACTGCAAGGTCAGCAGTTCAAGCTCACCAGCCGCTCCTCAGAAACCCTATACAGGGTCGCTATGAATCTGAAGGACTCAATGGCACTAAACTACAACAACATGAAGTCCTGCAAGTGGGAGATGAGAGAGGACTCTCTGGTTTGTGTCTAGCTATGATTCCCTAAGCCTGCTCCCAAGGGGCTTTAGCCTATGTCCCTGGCCCCTGTCCACAAACCAGGACCTAGGAGTCCGAGTCCATCCCTCCCTGATTTACAGGAACTCACAGCAGCGATCAATCTTCCCTAATTTGTAACTAGGCAGAATCCTGGGCCAGCCAATAGCTAAGACTGCCCCCCACACCCCCCTTACTGGCCCCGCGGGACTGTCCACACAGTCTACATTGAGGCTGACCAGGAGTTGGGAGCACGTTTGGCACCGGTAGGGCGCTCAGGGGGATGAGGTCTGGAAGTGGGGGGGTCTCAGATTGCCTTCCTCTCCTGCCAGCACATTTCCATCTAAGCGGTCTCTGCAGGCAGGCTTCTACTGGAAACTCCGGATTCTTCCTCCTCCCCGCCCCTTCTCCCCCCACCCGCCCCGTAGCTGTGGTCCCCAGCCCCCTCTGCACCTCCCCTCCTCCCTCTGCCTCTGGCCTCATTGTTTGTCTAAATCGGGACCCCCAAGATTGAACAGATGGACGAAGACCTGGGCCGGAGGGGGTTGGGGGAGAGGACGGGCCAGCGGGTGCCGGGAAAGGGAGCGGTTTGGGGGAAAACAAAACAGGGGGAGGAGCCAGAGGGGAGGTGGCCCAAGGAGAGAGCCGGGGCTGGGAACGGAATGGGAGTGGGCCCGCGGTGGGGGCTCCTTGGGCTCCAGAGTTCTGAGTCGGCCCCGGGGCTAGCTCCCTCTGCAGGTCCCTGCTGACGTCGTCCCCCCCAGATGGCCTCCAGGCTGACCCCGCTGACCCTCCTGCTGCTGCTGTTGCTGCAAGCTCGGGTAAGTGGCCCCTTCCTGGGGTGGGGGTGGGGGTGGGGCGGAATGCCCCCCCCCCCCCCCTGATGATTAACCCTTAAGGCACCAGGGAGTGAGGAGAGCGATTCTGCTCCCGAAAGCGTGCGCTGACCTTAGAGCCGGCATTCCTAAAGCAAGAAACTTGCTCTGAACTCCATTCAGAAGCAGAGAGAGAGAGAGTGTGTATGTGTGTATGTGTGTAGGTGGGCATTAGCAATGCCCCGTGTAATTCACCAGATGGCATAGTTAGGAGAGAGGCATCTGGATTCAGAAACCTAGGCTTCACTTATAAGTTTTCCTCCAGTGAGACTATAGGCTAGTAATTTAATAAGTCTGAACATCAGTTTCTTCATTTGGGAAATTGGGATTATACATGGTTTTTCCACTGGGATTCCATTGACATTTGTGGCTAGATAGCACTGAACTGCTAACCATAAGGTCGGTGGTTCAAACCCTTGGAAATCCTATACAGGGTGACTATGAGTCAGAACCGACTTGACACACTTAACAACAATCCTTTGTTAGGAGGGACTGTCCTATGTGTTGTAGGAAGTTTTTCAGTATCTCTGACCTCTATCCAGTAGATTCTAGTAACACTCCACCCAGCTATGATAACCAAATATGTCTCCAGATATTGACAGATAGTCCCCCTGGGGGGTAATCCCCCTTCCATTCCACCCTCATTGAGAACCACTTGTTGTTGTTGTTAGGTGCCATGGAGTTGGTACCTACTCATAGCGACCTTATGCACAGCTCAATGAAACACTTCCTGATCCTGGGCCAACCTCACTATTGTCGCCAAGCTTGAGACCGCTTGAGCCCATTGATGCTGCCACTCTGCCAATCCATCTCGCTGGGGGTCTTCCTCTTTTTCTCTGACCCTCCACTTTACCAAACAGCGACTGGTCCCTCCTGACAACATGTCCGAAGTATGAGAGACGAAGTTTGGTCATCCTGGCCTCCATGGAGCACTCTGGCTGCACTCTTTCCAACACTTCTTTTGGCAGCCCAAAGCACTTCCAATGTAGTCTACACTATTTCCTTCCTTTTTGAAATGATGATTGTTTCCAGTACCCACTAATGAGTCACAACCCAGAATGTGAAAACCTACTTACAAGCCAAGGGCCACAGCTGTAATGTCTGTATTGGCTAGGCAGCGGAGTTAAGACAAGCAGTATTTAAAGAACTTACAAGAATGTGGATAAACAGTATAAATTGCCATACATTTTCAAATCTAGAGAGACAACTTTCTATATGACTGTGTTGTTGTTGTTAAGTGCTTTTGAGTCGGTTCCAACTCAGAGACCCTGTATAAGGTTTCCAAGAATTTGAACCACTGACCTTGCAGTTCAAACTGACCTTTCGGTCCAGTGCATTATCCCACAGAGCCACACATGGGCTCTTCTATATGACAGTGGTAGGTGGTGGTGTGCCTTGGAGACGGTTCCAACTCATAGCAACCCTGTATAGTTTCTGAGGCTGTAAATCTTTACAGGAGCAGAAAGCCTTATCTTTCTCCCATGAAGTGGCTGGGAGTTTCAAACTGCTGACCCTGAGGTTCGTAGCCCAGCTCCTAACTAGTATGCTACCAGAGCTGCTTTATATGACAGTTGTTGTTGTTGTTGTTGAATACCATTGAGTGGATTCTGACCCATAGCAACCCTGTATAGGGTTTCTAAGGAGCAGCTGGTGACTTTGAACCGCAACCTTGCAGTTCAAACGGCTTTGCAGTCTGGCATATTAACCCACAGCGCCATACCAGGAGTCATTATATGACAGTAGTTGTTCAAAACTATAGAGCCCCTGCCTGTATTTCACTTCTACAGAGACTATCCCTACCTCTGTGCCCCTGTGTTACCCTCCCTCTGAAGGAATTAGTGGTTTTGTACATTCCTACGGTAATTAACCCATGGGACTTGACCACTCATAACATAGCACTCTTAACATACCAGGCTTTCGCAAAATTGACTCTAGGACATTTTTCATCTCCCAACTTCCTTCATTTTGTGTGTTTATGTACCTGATAACAAGAAAAACGAAACTCATTTTTTGAATCATAGGATGGAGCCAGCGACAGCTCCAGGGAGGTCATGCCAGAGAGAAGCAAAAAGAACGTTGTCCATGCAGAAATACCTGGACCTCTAGACATTCAACCAACCGTGAATTCTTCTACCTGGTTAACAACCACTGAGGCAACCGTGCAAACAAGACCTCAAACCCATCCTGAAACTACCATCCAACCTACCACTGCACCTACTGCCCAACCCACCTCCCAACTCACTGAAAAACCCACCCTTCAAGTCACTACCCAAGCAACTACCCAGATCCCCACCACGCTGCCCCCTACTGAGCCCTTCTGTCCCCTGCCAGCCACTAACTGCTCAGATTTAGAGAGGAAATCAGCAGAGGGTGTGTTGGGGGAGGCTCTGACAGATTTTTCCCTGAAGCTCTACCATGCTTTCTCAGAGGTGAAGAAGGCTGAGACCAACATGGCCTTTTCCCCATTCAGCATCGCCAGCCTCCTCACTCACGTTCTACTTGGTAAGAACCATATGGAATTCTCTCCAGTTCATATGTTGGGCACTACCATTAGGGCCACCAACCCAGAAACCTCCACGGCTGTGTTTCTAGGAGGAAGCTGTAAAAACGAGGCCCCTATAGACAAGTATCTTTTTATTCTTGGACATTTCATTCAGTCCCTCATTTAATAATGATTTAATCTGCACTGTTGCTTATAAATTCCTTGGGTGGAACAAATGGTTAATATGCTTGGTTGCTAACTGAAAGGTTAGAGGTTCAAATCTACCCAGAGGCACTTGGGCAGGAAGGCCTGACGGTCTACTTCTGAAAAACCAGTTCTTGAAAGCCCTATTGGGGGAGAGGAGAGGGGGGGAATGGGAAGAAAGAAAGAAAGAGACAAAACCCTGTGGAGCACAGTTCTACTCTGACACACACAGGATCGCCATGAATTGAAACTTCTGACAGCAACAGGGTAAGTAAGTAATTGCTTGTAAAACTCTGTAGATTATAAGTGATGGTGGTGGTTATGTGCTGTGGAGTCGGTTCCAACTCATAGCAACCCTGTACAGGGTTTCCAAGGCTGGAAATCTTTACCGGAGCAGAAAGCCTCATCTTTAGCTGGTAGTTTCTAACTGCTGACCTTGAGGTTCGCAGCCCAATTCATAACCATCACGCTACCAGAGCTCCTTGTAGATTATAAAAGAACATATAAAACAAGGTTCCAGCTACCAACCATATTCAGGGTAGGGTGATAAGAGAGATGAAATCATCAGAGAATCATAATAATACTGTGTGACCTTGTTGTTGTTTTTATGTGCAGTGGAGTCAGTTCCGACTCACAGTGACACTTTCTGATGCTGTAAATCTTTATGGGGGCAGAAAGCCTCATCTTTGTCCCAGCAAACAACTGTTAGTTTCGAACTGTGGACCCTGAGGTTAGCAGCCCAATTCGTAACCACTGTGCTACCAGAGCTCCTTGTGACTTTGGGTAGTTCACTTAATCTCTCTGAGCCCAAGTCCTCATATAAAATGGAGATAGTGGTATCTGCCTCAAAAATTTGTTGAGAAATAGAGAGTCTAGTGCCTGACTCCATGGGAGATCAATAAAAGTCCTCCTTCTGCTTTCCTTGAGGGAACATTATCAAGTCCCATGGGATAATTAATTACCCTGGAAATGACACAAATTGCTACAAGCTGTGGGTGGAGAGTTTTCACTCCCAAGGGGGACGTCCAGGGAAGGCTGCTAGAAACAATACAGTGAGCAGTTAAAAATTTTAATACTGAAGTTCCAGAATCCCGGCATTCCTGTCCTCTAGGAGCTCTGGTAGTGCAGCGGTTACAAGTCAGGCTGCTAACATCAAGATCAGAAGTTTGACACTACCAGCCATCCCATGGGAGAAAGATGAGGCTTTCTGCTCCTGTAAAGATGTATAGCCTCAGAAACCTTATGCAGGGTGGCTATGGGTTGGAACCGACTCAACGGCACTTAACAACAACAACAACCCACTAGATGCTGGTAGTACCCCCACCCCACCCCATCCCAGTTATGACAACCAAAATGTTTCCAGACATCACCAAATATCCCCTGGAAGGCAAATTTCAGTTGATTGGGTTCACTTTAGTTCTTTATTGCCCCCAAAATATAGCTTTCCATCCTGTACTTGTTAGCTTGTTAAGTGCCATTGAGTCGGTTCTGACTCATAGTGGCCCTGTATAGGGTTTCCAAGGAGGCTGTGAATCTTTACAGGAGCAGAAAGCCTCATTTCTCCTGTGGAGTGGCTGGTGGACTCAAACTGCCAACCTTGTAGTTAGCAGGCCAGTGGTAATCCTACACAGCCACTGCATTCCCACAGTTATTAACTATGTGACCTTAAATTGAGCTATTTCCTTTATCTCTGATACCTCAGTTTTCTCATCTGTATAAAGGGAATCATATTTGTCCCTATCTAAAAGGATTATTTTGAAGACTCAATGGGATAATATGGGAGAAGTACTTATAATGCCTGGAACACACTAAGTGCTCAATAGATGCTAACTACTGCTATGTGGAAGAAATGAACGATATTTCATAATGAACTGAGAGGAGCATTGAATCCTCTTTTATGATTCTCTGATAACTCCTCTAAATAGTGATTGAGTGTCCCTGCCTATAGGGTAAGATTTTCTAAACCCAACCCAACAAAAACTAGTTAAAGTGGAAGAGCAAATCGTTATACCAGGCTTTCTAAGACGAATATGATTGAAATAGGCAAAGAAGTGAGTGAAGAGTGTATTCAAAGGCCTGGGAAAACCTAGCTCTGTGATTGTTCATAATTACCCCTCTATTTCTGATGTATCAGTCTTCCAAAAAGATGCTTCCAGCTCTGATGCCCTCTGTCTGTCTCCATAGCAGGGAATGGTTCCCTATTCCAACCTGGTCCCACATTCCTCATCACGCCTCATGTCGCTTTTTGTCGTAGGGGCTGGGGACAGCACCAAGAGAAACCTGGAGAGCATCCTCTCTTACCCCAAGGACTTTGCCTGTGTCCACCAGGCTCTGACGGCCTTCGCATCCAAAGGTGTCACCTCAGTGTCTGAGATCTTCCACAGCCCAGGTAAGAGCCAGGAGAGGATCAGCAACTGCTAAGGAGGGTCCCTGAGAGGATTCTGAGGAGGTATGGTAGCGTTGTGGTTATGAATCGGGCTGCTAACTTCAGGGTCACCAGTTCGAAACTACCAGGTGTTCTGCAGGAGAAAGATGAGTCTTTCTGCTCCTGTAAAGATTTACAGCCTTGGAAACCCTATACTGGGTTGCTATGAGTCGGAACTGACTGCACAGCACATAACAACAACAACAACATGCTGGGGAAAGAGAACAGAGAGAAAGTTGGAGCTAGCATATTAGAGTATCAGGTGGAGGGTCTTAGCAGAATAATTCTCCTGTGGAGACCATAATCAAGTCTCTTATATGCATCAATTTACTTTAGAATAAGAGTTTTTTATGCATGTATAAAGTCTCTCTGCATGTTGCAAACAGTTTGCACTTGATGATTAACCTAAAGGTTGGCAGTTTGAACCCACTGGGCTGCTCAGTGGTTCAAACTTACCAGCTGCTCCTCAGAAACCCTATACTGGGTTGCTTTGAGTCAGAACCAACTCAATAACACTTAACAACAACAATAGCTGCTCTATGGAAGAAAGACGTGGCAATCCGCGTCCATAAAGATTGTTGTTGTTGTTATGTGCCGTGGAGTCAGTTCCAACTCACAGCGACCCTGCACAGGGTTTCCGAGGCTGTAAAAGTCTTTATGGGAGCAGAAAGCCTCATCTTTCTCCCACGTAATGACTGGTAGTTTAGAACTGCTGACCTTAAGGTTCGCATCCGGATTTGTAAACACTGCACTACCAGAGCTCCTTAGTAGAAAAATGTGCCGTGGAGTCGGTTCTGACTCATAGTGACCCTGTACAGGGTTTCCGAGGCTGTAAATCTTTATGGGAGCAGAAAGCCTCATCTTTCTCCCGCGGAACAGCTGGTAGTTTCAAGCTGCTGACCTTGCAGTCCACAGCCCGATTCGTAACCACTACACCACCAGAACTCCTTAGTAGAAAAATAGAGAGAAGCAAAAAAGTAAAGGAAGAGGAGAGGAGAGAGAAAGACTCACCTACCATCCTTTTTTTTTTCTTTATTGGATGAAAATATATACACCAAAACATTTGCCAACACAACTTCCACATGTACAGCTCAGTGGTATTGATAACATTTTCCATCCATGTTGTACCATTATTATCATTGTCCTTTCCCAAAATATTCTACTACCATTAACATAAACATAATGTCGTCCCCCCCCCGACCCCACACAAAAAAATCTCTTTTCCCTTCCCTCCCACCTCTGACAATCATTAATAATAATTGATTTATGTTGATATTAAGTGCAGTCAATTTCCTACTCATAGCAGCCCTGTATAGGGTTTCCGAGGCTATAAATCTTTGCAGGTGCAGAAAGCCTCATCTTCTTCCTGTGGAGTGGTAGGCTCGAACTGCTGACCTTGTGGTCCTCAGTCCAGTGTTCATCCTCTACAACCACCACACTCCCATTGATTTATACATATTTGCTTATTTCCTATATAGGAGACCATACAGTATTCATCCTTTTGCCGCTGACTCATTGTACACAGCATGTTTGCAAGGTTCATCCGTGTCTTAGTAGGCCTAACACCCTCTTTTTAGAGATGGGAATAGTATGGGCCAGAGGTGTGCACGAAGCATTGCATTTATATGTTTGCTGTAAATCACCTTTATCTTTGGTCTTGCCAGAATGTTGGGAAATTCACCTGCATTCATTATTTAGGATTTCCTGCCCCCCTCCTACCTCTGTCTATACTTGGAGTTGTGCCAAGGTTCCAGGATTTTTACATTGTCCCTAAGCCTCAGCAAAGCCTGAAGAAATATCTTTTATCTGTGTAGTCCAGGAAAAATTCCTCTTTCAAACACTATTTTTCTCAGTAGACTTGGGCTTTGGAGAACAAAAGCAGGAAGTACAGTCTGTTCCCTACCGGATTGAGGGAAGAAAAGAGAAAACACAGGAAGGCAAATGGAAGTCAGTATCTCAGAGCATTACGTTGTGCCAAGCCAAACTCACATGGAAAGTAGAAATATAAAAAGTACAGGACCCCGTTCTGGTCTTTTGTCATTGGGTTTGGGTTTGGGTTTCATTTACAGCATTTTAAAAGGGGAACTAGATCCCTGACTCCAATGCACTGTGTTCATTGGAATGAATGAGAAGAATCTCACCCTGGAAGGGGAAGGGGTTGGTTCAGGCTACTCATGCTTCCTTCTCTTGATCTGCCCCCCAGACCTGGCCATAAGGGATGCCTTTGTGAACGCCTCTCAGAGCCTGTATGGCAGCATTCCCAGAGTTCTGAGCAACAATAGTGATTTGAACTTGGAGCTCATCAATCACTGGGTGGCCAAGAACACCAACCACAAGATCAGACAGCTGCTGGACAGTCTGCCCTCCGACACCCGCCTTATCCTTCTCAATGCTGTCTACCTGAGTGGTAAGGAGACCTTCGGTCAGGTGGTCTTCCCATTCTGAGTTCTTCCTCCCATCCCACCCACAAAACCCACCCAATCCAAGTTCCACACAGATCCCAATGTCCTGGGCCAGTCCTTACCAACAGGGCTTTTAGCTTCTCTTCATCATTAACCCACCTGCATTGGAGCCAATTGCCCCCTTTCTCTTTTCTCTAGCCAAATGGAAGACAACATTTGATCATAAAAGAACCAGGTTGGAGCCCTTTCACTTCAAATCCTCTGTGATAAAAGTACCCATGATGAGCAGCAAGAAGTACCCTGTGGCTCATTTCATTGACCCAACTTTGAAGGCCAAGGTCAGTTCTTGGCCCCTCTCACTCTGGTTTCAGAGCCTCCTGAGTGTCCTCATTTCTTTTCTGCTATGGCCCCATCCTTTTGGGTTCCACCCTTACTAATTCATCATTTTTATTCCTTCCATCTGTATCTCTACCCTGTCTTTTCTTCTTTCCCTCTTTCCAGTGTTGGCCAAGGCAGGCATTGTGTATTTTAGGCTGGAAAGCAGGATTCTAAAGTTGCTTCATTCATCTCTACTGCACCTAATAGCAAAAAGTGAGTCTTATTCCTATTCTATGCCTGTCTCTCTTTCTAGTCAAGCCATCAGGAGACCTGGGTGGCTTGGTGAGTCTTTTAAGTGTGTATAATGTGTACAGCTTGCAAACGTACTTGGGTATATCTATATGTACATATATGTGTATGTCCATGTGTGTCCATGTGTTGAATGCCTTATGTTCCTTAGGAGAAGTTGTACAATATAAATTCAATGGACAAGAAGGGAGGAAAGAATATGGAGCCCAGGGGATTCTAGTTAGTAAATCATCTCGTGCTAAGTGACCAGAACCTTCTATCTTGTTGTTGTTAGTTTATTTTTGACTCACAACGACTCCACATGACTGAGTAGACTATACTAGAGGGTTTTTCTAGGCTGTAAATTTTATAGGAGCTGATCATTAAATCTTTCTCCTATGAACCAGCTAGTTGGGTTATATCTAGCTAGCTAAGAGAGCAAAAAACATTCCTATGAGATAGAAAACAATGGAAGACAGCCAATGATTCAATATGCTGCTGGGAAGTTTAGGATTTGTTCTTGAAACATACCAAGTTTGTTTCCACCTTGGGAGCTTTTCCTTCAAGGGCTATTTTTTGTTAGATTAAGGTATAAAGATTATTTCAGGGAAGTAGTTTCATTTCAGGGCTTCATCCACTTTCCATGGCTTCAGAAAATCTAGATTCCATGAGAATTTATAATTCTGTTCTGGATCTACCCACTTTTGATAACGAATCTTTTATCAAAGTAAGTATTCAGTAATGGTAGCCAGGCTTCCTCATTATTCTGGTTTCATAGTGAAGGAGGCAGTTGTTCATGAAGGCTGTTGAACGGCTTTTAAACAGATATTTAATTTACTATGTTAATATTATAAATTCTAAATCAAAGTGTAACATAAGCCTTTTAATTTTAAGTAAACTCACAACCCTATTTATAATACTAAAACAATTTTATATAAAATAATACTTCCTATTGTTCTTTAATAAATTAAATCATATTGGACAGAATAAATTCCTTTAAACCAATTATTCATTTACATACTTGATTAATATTTCCATGAGTACTTTGAGCTCTCTTTATAAATTTGATATGGTTACTTTTCTTTTTTGTTGTTGTTGTTAAGTGTCATTGAGTCGGTTCTGACTCATAGCGACCTTGTATAAGGTTTCCGAGGAGTAGCTGGTGAGTTTGAACTGCCAACCTTATGGTTCAAACCAACCTTGTGGTTGAGTGCTTATCCTCAGTGCTACACTAGGAGTCCCAATTTTCGTTTTAAGGATATTAAACATTTAATGGTGAAATTACAACCTTGCTAGACCATCTTCCCAAAAAACACCCAAAACCTACTTTAAAAATAAATGTGAAAGTAAATCAACTTCCATTCTACATCCCAATATCATTCTTTTATTTATTTATTTTTTTACTTTTTATTGTGAATTAAGTGAAGGTTAGCAGACAAGATCATCAGCTTTACATTCAACCAATCATACGTTTTGTTTCATCTAAATGATTACAATCCCCGTTGCTAACCTCAGGGTCAGCAGTTCGAAACTACCAGCTGTTCCACAGGAGACAGATGAGCCTTTCTGTTCCCGTAAAGAGTTACAGCTTCGGAAACCCTATGCAGGGTCACGATGAGTCGGAACCGACTCCATGGCACATCACCACCACCCTGGAACAACAATTCCCTACTTCCTCCCTGTGGTTTCCCTTTTGTATCTTATTTTCCACAAATCAGCAAAGCAAAAATATTTCATGTACACATACAAAGCAAAACATACATATTCATCTCATTGTCCAAAGGGCATATTTTGCAAGCCAACTTCCTGCCCGCCAATACTATTCTTAATCTTTGTGAAATGTTCCTATAATTTTTAGTTTATAAGTATAAAACTAGCATGTCAGTATCTCTTAAAAATTACAAACATTATTTTAAATAACAAATACAGTGATTACCCTGAACGTAACACCCAGTGGTAATATTATAGAGTTGGTTTACTATGTCATTTCCATTTTTAATTCTAACCTGTCTTGGAGCTAACTTAAAAAGAGTAGGTTTATCAACTCAGGTATCCTGAGGTGGTTTAGTTGCTGTTGTTAAGTGCCAGTGAGTTGGTTCTGACTCATAGTGACCCTGTATAGGGTTTCCCAGGAGCAGCTGGTGAGTTTGAACCCTCGACCTTGTGGTTCACACCTACCTTGTATTCCAGTGCTTATCCTACTGCACCGTACCAGGACTCCATTCTGACGTTGCTGGCTTGGAAATTTAAGACCATTACATGGTAATTTCCTGGCCAGAAATGTAAGGTCTATACACAGGACTTGAAGGATAATTGTTGTTACTGTTGTTGTTAAGTGCCGTCGAGTCAGTTCCAACTCATTGTAACCCCATATAGGGTTTCCAAGGAGCAGCTGGTGAGCTTAAACAACCAACCTTGTGGTTCAAACCAAACTCCCATTCCAGTGCATTAACTCACAGTGTCACACCGGGACTTCTGAAGGATGGTACCACCCAGATAAATAAGTCTTCTCTATTTGGGGTCTGTGTCAATGGGAAACCCAAGTTCACATCGTTGAGTTGATATTGGTGTATACTCTACTTCTTCTGAACTATTTGTTTCACGTTCCAACAGTTGATTGGGGTCAGTTCGTTTCTTTATTGCCCAATTGAATCCTGCTTTCTTCTAAATTCTTGTCCCCCTTTCAGCCTTAACCATAATGCCATTTTAATGATAATCTCTTTATACCCTGTTAGACTAGGGTTTCTCAACTTTGGTATTACTGGCATTTTGGACTGCATAATTCTTTGTTTAGTGGGAAGTGTCGTGTGCATTGTAGATTGTTTAGCAGCATCCCTGACTTCATCTCACAGTAGCATTCCCCCCTCTCCATACGCACACCCAGTGTAGCACCCAAAATGTCTCCAGTTATTACCACATGTTTACTGAGCACCCAATTCTCTCTTGTGTCTTACTTCTGTCTGACCATTAGAAACTCTTTCTGATGGTACATTGGGAAGATACACTATGATAGGCTTGAATGGGCCACACTGGGAGATTTACATTTAATTCCAAGGCAGTGAAGAGCAATCCAAGGTTTTTAAAAGGGCTGGCCTGGGAGCTCTGGTAGTACAACATGCACATTGTGTACGTCACGTACACACCCTTGGGAGGGAGGGATGGAGCTCGTTAAGATCAAATCACTTGTTATGGCTGGTAGCGCTGTTGTCTATGAAACAAAAGGTTGGTTTTTCTAGTACACCAAGAGACTTCTTGAAAGAAAGATCTGGTGACCTACTTCCAAAAATATCAGCCATTGAAAACACTGCAGAGAACAGTTCTCCTCTGACTTACCACAAGGCTTCAGATTCATAGTCAATTCCATGGAAATTGACAACAACTGGCTGGTCACTGGTGGAAGCTTAGGCCTGTATGATGGGAAGCTTGTACCAGTTAGACGAGCCTGTTCACCCAGCTGGCATTCCATCAGTGCGTCTGGGAGCCTAGGATTGGCTGCTGGAACAAACAGTATGAACTAGAGCAGATAGACTGAAGGACAGCCAGGAGCCAGGAGAGAACCAGGGTGGGGAAACTGACCAGGTCTGTTTCCTGCTCCTCAGGTAGGACAACTGCAGCTCTCTCACAACCTGAGCTTGGTGATCATTGTGCCTCAGCACACGAAGCACCACCTGGAAGACTTGGAGCAGGCCCTCAGCCCCTCCGTCTTCAAGGCCATCATGAGGAAGCTGGAGATGTCCAGGTTCCGACCTACTCTTCTGATTATGCCCCGCCTCAAAGTGAAGAGCAGCCAAGACATGCTGGGCATCATGGAGAAAATGGGTGAGCCTTGGCAGCCGGGGCTACATCCCCAAGCCATCAAGAAGGGGGGTGTCTTAGGCCGGGCTCTCCAGAGAAGTAGAATCAGTGAAACTTGTATATGTATATATAAAAAAACTTTAAATCAAGGAGAATGACTCACACAGTTGTAGAGGTGGGAGAGTCCCAAGTCTAGGTCTGATGAACCAAGATCAGCAGGCAGGCAGGTCTGGTCTCATAATGGAACTGGTCATTGGTTCAAGATCCAGATCCAACAGAGAACCAGCTTTGCCTGAGTGTCAAATATACTGGAAGCAGGCCACACCCCTGAGGAAACATCCTTTCAGTTGATTGGCTACTCATAGCAGACCTCATCATAGAGTTAATTTCATTATATTAGATCACATTATGGGGGTAACTACATCTCAGCTGCCAAACCACCAATAATCCTGATGCCATCTAGTCAACACAAAATCTTAACTATCACAGGAGGAGGGGAACCCCTAAAACAGCATTTTCTAGAGTACTTCTGATGCTCATAAGCTCAGGCTCTCTGTCTCTCAACCCTGTGAGCTAGAGAGGCAGGTGCTTTTCTCATGGTATCACTGAGGAAACGGGGGCTCCGAAGGCTTGCATGACTTGTCCAGGGTTCCTTGAACCACTTCAACGTGAACCAGAACACAAATCCAGGTTGCCACTATGGTTCTCTGTGGCATAGATACTGGGACAGGTAGGTGATCAATGTGAGTTGTGGACACTCCTTCCCCAGAAACGTTGACTAGCCAGCCCATGGAATAAGCAAGTAACTACCTAGATAAGAAGGTTCTTAGTTTAGGATCGGCCACAGAGATCCTATTCCCTAACCTTTCACCTCGATTCCTGATATCTGACCTCATGTCCAGATATCACTGCCATGTCCTGTTATACAACGTGACCTCCTTCCCACTGTATGACTTGACATGCTTATATATGACCTCATTTTATAATGCATGATGCTCTCTTCCAAGGTCCTTGGAGGCAAGGAAGCAATGACATCATTTTTCAGGGTTTTGATTGGACCACGGAGAGACAGCCTCTTACCTACTGAGAAAGAATGGTGGTTGGAGTAAAGATGGGCCCATTAAGAAAGGACCCCATAACTAGAACAGATATATTCTCTGACTGACACATCCTGGTGCTACAATAGTTAAGCACTTAACTGTTAACTGGAAGGTCGGTGGTGGTTCCAACCCACCAGCAGCTCCGCAGAAGAAGGAACTGCTCATGTAAAGATTACAGTCTGACTGTGGGCCAGTTCTGGTCTGTCACACAGGGTTACTGTGAATCAAAATTGACTTGACAGCATGTAGCAATAACAAGCTACAAAGGAGGAGGAAGAGAGCAGCTGGACCTGGGAGTAGCCCAGACCATCCAGGAAGAATATCTATCTCCAGCAACCAAGGTCTGGTGCTGGCTGCTGACCCTTTGTTTACGTCTGATTATACCCTAGAATTCTTTGACTTTACATATGACCTCAACCTGTGTGGGTTGACCGAGGACCCAGATCTTCAGGTATCAGCGATGCAACACCAGACGGTGCTGGAGCTGACGGAGTCGGGGGTGGAAGCGGCCGCGGCCTCCGCCATCTCTGTGGCCCGCAATTTGCTGATCTTCGATGTGCAGCAGCCCTTCCTCTTCCTTCTCTGGGACCAGCAGCACAAGTTCCCCGTCTTCATGGGGCGGGTATATGACCCCCGAGGCTGAGGCCTGTGGGGGGCCAAGTGAGGAGCCTCAGCTCCTGTAGCTGCAACCTTGCTGCTCCTGCCTGGACTTGCCCCCAGCCACCTTCCGCCTCAGGTGTCCCCTGTCAGTCACCTGAAAGACTCCCTCAGGTCTGATGAAGGGACTTGCTCCTATGGGTCCCTCCCTGAGGCTCTGTCATGCACACCAAATCACTGCAGCTTTTTCTGGTTCAAGTTCACCAGACAACAATAAAACCTGGCTGACCATGACTTCCTTTCATTTGCTTTTCAATATTGTCTGTCTCAGTCTGAGAAGACCTGGATCAGTTAGCTATTGCTGTGTAACAAATCACTCCAATCTTGGTGGCTAGAGACAGCTACCAGTTACTATTCCTCATATGTGTCTGGCTTAGCTGGTTAATCTTGTTGTGGGCTGAATCTGGCTGATCTTGGTGGGCTTGCTCATACATCTATAATGCCTGGTGGGTTGCTTGGATGACGTTTGGTGTGAGACAGTCTCAGCTGGGATTCCTTTGCTCTGTTCCCTGTATCGCCCACATCTCTTCAACACACTAGCCTGTGCTTGTTCTCATAGCAGTGGCCGGGTTCCAAGAGAGGAGATATAGTCAGTGTCATTTTCACCCGTCTGCTTGTATCAACTTACCATTGTTCCATTGGCCAAACCCATGGTTAGAGAGGGAAAGGACTACAAACATTACAGAGCAAAGAGTGGCAAGTGATACTGAAAGGCTTCTAACCTGAGCTTCCTGTTATGTCCGAACCAGCCTGGTCCCTACAAAACCGTAGGCAAGGTTGAGAACCATAGCAGCAGTAACACATATCCAGCAGTTACCATGCATCAGGCAATGTGCTAAGAATTTTATACAGATTATACCTTTTCATTTCCACCACTCGTCTTGGCTTTATGTGTTGTTGTGATGTTAGGAATTATGCCACCAGTATTTCCAATGTCAGCAGAGTCCCCATGGTGGACAGGTTTCAGTGGTTCTTCCAACATAAGACAGACTATGAAAAAGGACCCAGTGGTCTACTGCTAAAAAGGAAAAAAAAAAAAAAAAAGGTCAATGTCACAACTCTTGATTTCTCTCGATCCAAAGCAAAGAAGAGAAAACGGAATCAAGGACACAAGGAAACAATTAGTCTAATGGACTAATGGACCATGAAAAGCCCAACCTCCATGACCTCAGCCCAGAAGAACAATATGATACTTGACCTCCACTGCTGACTGCTAAGAAAGGGATTGCAACAGGAAGTCCTGGATAGAGTGGAAGAAAAACGTGGACCAAAACTCCAAAACGACCAGGCATACTGCTCTGATCGAGACTGATGGGACACTAGGGCTTAGAGCTCATATTCACCTTTCAAACCTGGAACTGAACCCATCCCTGTGCCTCAACTTTCAGCTGAAGCGATCGGCCTATAGGGTGAACAACACCAGGTAGGTGCACACTCCTCGGAACAATCAACCATGAAAGACTGAAAAGTCAACATTTGACCAGGGATAAAGCTCAGAGGCAGGAAGGCTAAGAAAGAGGAACACACGGAAATGATAAACACAGGGAGGAAGTAGGAAGAGTGCTGTTACGTTGTGGGGGCTGCAATCAATGCTGTAAGACACAATGTGTATGAATGGAAAACCAAATGCTCTGTAAACTTCCATCCAAATTTTTATTTAAAAAACAAAGAAAAATGGCCAGTGAAAACTTTATGAATAACAGCAGGACATTATCTGATACAGTGCCTGAAGTTGCGCCCACGAGAATGGAAATACAAAGTAAAGGTGACCTTAATGATGTAGATGGGGTGAAGCTTTTAAGGCCTTCATTTTCTCATGGGGCATAACTCATAATGAGAAGAAACAACTGTCAACACCATTAATAATCAGAACATGAATGTATGAAACAGGAATCCTGAAAAATTAGAAGTCATCAAAAATGGAATGTTTGAAGATGGACATCCTAGATACCGGTGAGCTGAAATGAGCTGGTATTGGATCTTGTTTGTCATATGGTCAACTCTGCCAGGAATGACAACTTGAAGAGGAATGACATCACATTCATTGTCAGAAATATTTCAAAATCTCTCCAGAAGTACAATAGAATGTCAGTCACAGGGTAATAGCCATACATCTACAAGGGAAAATAGTTAATGCAACTATTATTCACATTTACACACTCATCACTAATGCCAAAGATGAACAAATTGAAGATGTTTACTAAATTCTGTAGTCTGAAATTGATCAAACATGCAATCAAGCTGCATTGGTATATTATTGGTGATTGGAATGCAAAAGTTTGAAACCAAGAAGGATAAATAGTTGGGGGATATGACCTGAATGACAGAAACAACATCGGAGATCACATGATAGAATTTTGCAAGACCAATGACCTATTTATTGGAAATACCTGTTTCCAACAAATTAAATGGTGAGTATGGTGTGGTGCTGTGTGTTAAGGTGTCAGACTGCAAAGCCATTTGAACTGCAAGGTTGGTGGTTCAAGCTCACCAGCTGCTCCTTGGAAACCCTATACAGGGTGGCTATAGTACTTAAAAACAACAACATACATATGGGCCTAGTCAGATGGAATACACAGGAATCAAAGTGACAACATTTGTGGAAAAAGACAGTGAAAAAGTTCAATATCATGAGTCAGAACAAAGCCAGGAGGCCAACTATGGAACACAACATCAATACCAGTTCAAGCTGAAGCAGAAGAAAATGAAAACAAGTCCCAAAGAGCCAAAATGCAACCTTGAGCATATCTCACTTGAATTCAGAGATCATCTCAAGAACAAATTTGACTCACTGAACACTAATGACTGAAAATCAGACAAGTTGTAGGGCGACATCAAGGACATCATACATGAAGAAAGCAAAAGGTCCTTACAAAGACAGGAGAAAAAGAAAAGGCCAAAATGGGTGGTAAAAGAGACTCAAACTTGCTCTTAAATGTAGAGTAGCTAAAGTGAATGGAAGAAATGAAGTAAAAGACCTAAATAGATTTCAATTGAGAAGATAAAGCAATAAAATGTGCAAAGACTGGAGTTAGAAGATCAAAAGTGAAGAACATTCTCAGCATTTCTCAAGCTGAACAAACTACAGGAAAAAACTCAAGCTTTGAGTTACAGTAATGAAGGATTCTATGGGAAAATGTATTGAACGAAGCAGAAACAAAAGAAGATGGAAATAAAGCACAGAGTCACTGAACCAAAAAAGAATTAGTCGCCATTCAGCCACTTCAGCAGGTAGTATATGATCAAGAATTGATGGTATTAAAGGATGAAGTCCAAGCTACACTGAAGGTCGAAAAGCAAGACTTCAGGAATTGACAGAATAGTAATGGAGATGTTTCAACAAACTGATGCAGCACTGGAGGCACTCACTCATCTGTGCCAAGACATTTAGAAGACAACTACGTCACAGGCTGACTGGAAGAGATCCGTGTTTGTGCCCTTTCCAAAGAAAGGTTATTCAACAGAATGTAGAAATTATTGAATATCATTAACATCACACACAAGTTAAATTTTGAAGATAATTTAAAAGTGATTGCAGCTGTACGTTAATAAGGAAGTGCTGTAAATTCAAGCCAGATTCAAAAGAGGACTTAGAATGAGGGATACCATTATTAATGTAAGATGTATCTTGGGGGAAAACAGAGAATACGAGAAAGGTGTTTCCTTGACTATTCAAAGACATTCAATTGTGTGGATCATAACAAATTATGGACAAAATTTGAAGAATGGGGGTTACAAGACCCTTAATTGTGTTCATGCAGAACTTGTACATAGACCAAGAGGCAGCCATTCAAAGAGAACAAAGGAATGACTTCATCTTAGAAACTTTGAACATGTTATCAAGAGGGTCCAGTCCCTAACGGATATCATGCTTGATAGAGAGTCAATGAAAAAGAGGAAGACATTCAATGACAGATATGTGGCAGGAATAAGAGGCTCAAGGATGCACAGGACTGAGCAATGTTTTGTGGGGTCTCTAGCAGTCAGAACCGACCTGACAGCATCTAACAACAATATATCATTTTATTTAATAGTATCTCACACTTATGACAGTGATATGTTAACCTGAAAGCATAGTATCAAATTGTGTGTGTTTTGTGAGGGAGGAAGAAAAATCTTCAGTCATGGTAGGACATTTTTGGTTTTGTGCTACTCTTTTAATTCACTAAATCTTAAAATCTCTAATATTTCACACAGGAGTCACTCCTAAATTAACTGATTGGCAGGTCCTGAGAGTTATTTGGACGTTTTCACAGTGTTTTATCATAGGTTGCTTCCATTACAGAGTTATTGATTTGGGGGAAGTGTTTTTTGGCTCTAGCACCATCTCTTAATGAACTCTGAGATGACATCATTCTAGGATGCAGAAAATATTTTGAATGGTAGTCATATTGATGTTAAAACAACAGCACATCAGTAGTGAAATTCACCATCATAAGTTGCGGTGTGCATTACCAACAGCTGGGTTCATGTGATCCGGACACTGGAGGCAGCTCAGGTAGCGCTGGCACGTAGCAGTCATTGACAGCTTAATAACCTATCCACTTAGCTCACCAATTTTTAAATGATGTATTGATGAGTTTTAAGGCACTTTGGTGATGCAGTGACTAAGTGCCACTAAGCCAATGGTTCAAATCCACCAGCTTCTCCTCAGGTTTGCTTCTGTAAAGATTTCAGCCTTAGAAGCCAAGTTCTATGATTCTATGAATTAGAATCAACTAGACAGCAATGTCTTTTGGTTTCATCATTCTTTTGCTGCTTTTATTTTCTGTTACTTCTTTTTTCTTTTTTTACTTTTTAATGACAAATATACATTGTAAAACATGCAGACAATATTGAAGTATACTGTTGTTGTTAACTGCCATTGAGTCAATTCCAACTCATAGCAACCCTGAATAGGGTTTCCAAAGAGTGGCAGGTGGGTCTGAACCGCCGACCTTGTGGTTAGCAGTCCAGTGCTTATCCTGCAGTGCCACACCAAAGTGA